GGGGAGGGAGCGGAGCCGCAGTAACAGCCATGGGTTGCAGCCCAGGGGCTGCTGGAGGGACCGCGCCGGGGTCTGGATGGGGCATTTCTATGGCTCATTGGAAAAATCTCAGTCCGCCTCCTCCCGTCCCCCAGACAGGCTGTGGGATCCCCTGGCTTGCATTCCCGAGAGCCCCCCAGCAGCGCTGGAAAGCACCCTGCCGCCCCCCATCCCCAGCAGCACCCGGGTCTACCGGGGCGGACAGCTCACCCGGGTGCAGGCTCTGACCCTCCCACTAGATCGATACTGCACAGCGAACATGGCCTTCACTGGGTCATGTTACTAGTTTATTACTTCAGTTCATGTTATTAGTTTTATTACTCATTACTTACTTATTACTTTATTTAAATGTATTTATTACATTTTTTTACTTTAATGAATAAGTAATGTTTAAATATTTATTACTTTTATTTAAATGTATTACTTATTACTTGCTACTTATTAGTTATTAAGTGGTATTAGTTTTATTACTTATTTAGTAGTATTAAGTATTAGTGTATTGCTTATTAGTTTTTATTATTACTTTATTTAAATGTATTAAATGTATTTATTCAATGTATTTACTTGAATTAATAAGTAATAAGTTTAAATACTTATTACTTGTATTTAAATGTATTGTATTATTTATTATTTACAAAAAACTAGAACTTTTGGTTCCAAAATGATACCTTTTATTAGACCAACTGGAAAATGGAAAGAAAATTGTCGTTTTCTGCAAGCTTTCGGGATCAAAGTCCCTTCGTCAGGCTCTGGGAAAAGTGTAGATGGCACAAGATGGTAAGAAGTCCCCAGAGGTAGGAAATAAACTTCATTTTTGCACAGAGGAAGCTGGAGATGGAAGGCTGTCCCTCTGGGTCATTTATTATTTATTACTTATTACTTTTATTTAAATGTATTACTTATTACTTATTTAGTACTTCATTATTTATTATTGTTATTTATTATTATTATTAATTAGTGCATGTTGTTAGTTTATTAGTTCATTACTTTACTATTTATTAGGTCATGTTAGTTCAGGGCCTTGACTCTGGCATTGCACATCTGAGGTTGCAAATCCTGCAATCATAATTACATGCTTTTTTTTCCTGAGGATTACGGTTATGAATTCCCTTTCACTGGGATCCTTGTCTATGTAAGTGTCTAGTGTACAGATGGAATTTTGTAACAAAATAGGGAAGGATTCTTTCAGCCTTATTAATGTCTCACTACTTATAGAGTCTAATGCCTGCATCGCTATTTATTATACTTGCTTCTAAATAATCCATTTCATATAAAATTCCACCCCAGCCCAGTTGATTTCCTCTAGGTCAATTAGCCAAGTTATATACATCTTCTTCAATTTTTTTTTGGAGTTATCAACCACTAATATAAAATCTCAGAATTCTTTGATTTTTCCTTTCTAGTTCTTGGATATTATACAGTTAGTCCAATTGATGTTATGACTCACAAAAATCCTTGCCCCTCACATCTTTCCTAGACTATAATAGCTACAGCATCACCAAAACTCTGCCATAACATTTCCTCAATTTTACTTATATATTATGTTGAGAAACATTGTTATGATTACAGAAAGTAAATAACAGGTACAAGGAGGTGTCCAGGATAGGAAGGTGTAGGAAAAATAAATATTTTAAAGTTAAAATGTGGAAAATTCTAATTAATAATAAAGCACTCATTTTTAAGTGAGGTTGATTCGTCCCTAGGAAAAAAAAAAATTTGGCTCTACTTGGGTGGACCTAGGATTTTGAAAAGGAGCATGCAGATGGTGTGGTGCATCCTCACATATAGCACAGAACACATTTTTCTCCAGTTAGAGAGACTAGAAGCTCTGCTAATATGTGAGGGGCCCAGCACTATATTACTCCATATATGATCATAGCAAAAACAAATATGTAACTATTGTAACGTGCATTAATTTGCTAGGTTATATATTAAGTTTAAAAAAAAATAAACTAGGCAAATATAGTTGAAATAGTAAAAACATAATGTGTCATTAGTTCTGTATTCATTATAGTTAAATGGACATCTCTTCTTCAGATTCATAAAACAAAATATTGTCTTCTTGCGTGTCTTGCCAGTGCCTCCAGTGCTTGATGTCAGTCATTTCCAGGGATCCTGGTTTTCTCTAACTTAAAAAAAATCTCCAATTTTCGGTAAAAAAAGTAACCCCAAAACCACATTTTTCCATGATTAAAATGAAATATCACTATATATATCTCTACGTATTAGTCGTGTTTCATTTAAATCAGAAAATGCCAGGATCCCTGGTCATTTCTACACCTGAGTAAATATTACTGCACCTGAATTACAGTTTTTAGCTAGAGCTAAAAATGGTCTTCAGAGCTGTGAAATAGGAGAGAGACATTACCAGGAGTGGTTAACACTGTAAATTGGAGAAGAAAGGATAGCTTTAGTGGAACAGCAAGACCATGAAAAAGGCTAGAGAGTCATTAACACCTATGGAGTTAAGAGAGACTAGCAGGAATTGGTAGATTATAATGAGCCAGAAAGTCAATTGACTCTCTCAGTATTGCCTGAATAGAAATGCTGCTGCCCTTCCCAGGCAGTTGGTTTTAAAGCTTGGGAAGAGCGAAATCAAGGGGAAGGGATGCAGCTGCACCTCTCCTGGATTTGTCTCTGAGGCTGTACCCTATCTTAACTGAGTGACATTTTCTGGGTGGTGTCATACAGGAAATATGGACAACTGAATGATGCCTTCTGGCCTTAATGTCCCCAAATCAAGGAATAAGTGACCTCAGATGAAGATTAGGCGAGTTGGGGATTGGACACTGCTCGGACACCTGAAAACTGAATGGTCCCCCCCCCATTTAAGAAGTCTCCGCTATTTAGGGGGATAGTGTCTCCAAGAGGGTAATAAGGTTATTCAATCATTTCCCAATGTTTTTTATTTTTATTCTACCCAGATAAAGACGCAGGTGTTAAATCAAGGGCTGTTCTGTGCCTGACTGGCTCCTTGCTTCCAAAAACAGAGTTAGGGGTGACTAAAATACTCCATCTTTTATAACAGTCCTTCTGCTCTAACCCTATCTACTCCTACCACTACTTTGATGCCAAAAGATCCCAAGAACCCCTACCAAAATATTTTTTATGGAAATCACTTTCCTGAGCCTTAAATTAGGGCTGCTTCTGGGGTATAGACAGGTGATAGCTGTCTTTTAATGGGCAGGGAAGGGAAATAACATGCCCCTGGCCAAGACTGACCAGCTCTGTTGCAGCCCATTCTTGTTGTTGCTGCCCGCCCCCCACAGCCAGCTGCCTCTTCTCCATTACTGCCCCCTCCCAATTGCCAGATCTGTCCCCTGTCACCATGATTTTGCCCACGACTCCCTGCTGCCCTTGAAGAAGAAAGGTGGTTTTTGTGGGGAAGAAACAGCACTTTCTACCTCTTTATTAATTAGTGACTTACATTTCCCTCTGTCAATGCTAATTGGAGAATGAGGCAAAGTATAATTTTGCAACAGCGACCCCTCACCCTTTCTCTCCCATTGTTGAAAATGACTACATAATACCCTCAGACTGTTCTTTTTGTCTCTAATAAATGAGTGTTGATATCTAATTTTCCGTTCTCAATCTAATATAGGGCTGGATTAACCCTTTAGTTAGCATAGACAAACAAACTTGTGGGCCCCTACTTAATACTGTATATTTATATTACTTTTTTCACTCAATAATTAAAATGTGTAAAATAAGCCCAAGTGAGCCCCTTCTTCGCTTAGGGCCCTAGACATGTGCCTCCTTTGCCTATGCATTAATCCAGCCCTGATCTAATACTCGGATATTGATAGGAAACCTGCTTGGATTTCATTCTCTACTCTTTTATTCAGGGATATTGGCATTCAGTTCTCTCAACTTTTGCGTCAGTTCTCAAGTCTTGAAATAAATCTCTCACGTATTTAAGCATGTTTTCTCCTCCTTTTTGATGGCACTGTCATAAATATTTGAAAGATGAGGTCCAAATGATCTATCCTTTATATTTAAACTTTCAGATTTGACTTCTCTTTCATAACCTGCTCTTAACGCATCTCTTCAGACTTTCCAAACTTTTTTCTAGTCATATAAAAAACATACCATCATAATATTAAAACACGTCTTTCTTCCTTTCTAAACTGGTATCATGTCTTCTCAAACTTAGCTATTTTCTGTTTATCTCTATTGAATATATAAAAAGTTCATATATTTGATTTTTCCCCCCTATTATAACAACTAACTGCTTTTTTTTTTTGTCAGAAGCTCCTGCCCAGCTTCTGCTGGGGGCTGTATGGAGCAGCTCCACGGGGTGCTGGATTTGGCCCTGGACGGTGGTAGGATTACTTTTTCCAGTCTGCTCTGTGCCTGGCCACCTCCTCCTTTATGGTGTCCTCCACTAACTGGGAGCAGGGACTAGGAGATCCTTTGTCACATCTTTTCTCCACTCTTCACCCTTCAACCTCCTGCTCCTCTTTAGCTCCCTTCTGGTTTGCCACCTCCCTATATTCCCCCATGTTCTTAACTACCCTTCATCACAAGCAGCCTGGTTTCAGGCTCACAGAGAAGAATGGGAGCTCATAGTTACTTTTATTGTAAGTACAGGATTTGCAGTGAGCTTGGTTGACAGCAGCCTGTGACTCTGGTCCCGTTAATAATTATGGTAAAGATCAGCCATTTTCAATAAGGGCAAATTCATTAGTTTTTATCTGGGAATTGAGATCATGGGACACTTGAAAATACCATCACACGTTGTGAGATTTGAAATAAAATCGCAAGAGATGGCAAGTCTGCAAGGGATGGCAAGTCTGTAAGCAAGCCACTGAGGGTGAGAGAACCACTAAGTTACTGCCCTGCTCCTTTCATCCTGAGTGAAGACTCAGGGTAGCTGCTTTTCTCCAAAAATCAGACATTCTTGTAGTTTTAAAGTTGGCAGGAAACCAAAATTGGAGGGGATTTTCTATCTTCATTTGATACATGAATAAAAATCTGTCATTTCCCTGTGTTTACCATTCACATAGATAGAAGGGAGCCTGTGCGACTAATTCAAAAAAGAAAGGGAAGGGGAGAATGGACTTTCCATGATTGGTCCCTGGGAAAGAATGGCTTCCACGTTTTTATTTCTAAGGCATGCATTTTTCAGTGACCGAAACCATCTGCATGACTTGACTGAAGAAGGGATGTAGTTAGGTTCATAGCAAATGGGAAGACACAGTTCTTCAAATTCTCTTGTTATATAAGAGACAACTTGGAAAGCCACATTTGCTAAATTACAAATGCATCAAATAAACAGATCCTGAAATGTGAAGGAGGAAAAACTGGAAAGTGGAGAATTTAACCTTTTCCTCCGGGGGGGGGAACTTAGACAGACATAGATGTGGTGTCATTTCATTCTTATTTAATATTTGTCTTGCAATAGCACTTAGGAATTCCAAAGGCAGGACCCCGTGATGACCAGCTTTATACAAATACAAGCCAACAATGGCTTCTGCCCTAAAGAGTTGAGTCAAACTCTTTTCAAGCATGTCACTAGCTCCCACCATTTAGAGAGTACATCCATTTGAGGATATCAACCATTTAGTCTGTGGAGAATAGTTCTCAAACCACTTTAAACAACATCCTGTCTTGTATGCTCAACTCCTCCCTCACCTGCGATGGGCAGTACCAGGTGAACTATGCGGAGTGGATCATTACATTATTCCCTTTCTTCATGTTTAGCACAGACACTGGGAGGATTAAAATGTCACAGTGGGCTGGCTTCAAGAAGGAAGAGCTGTATCCATGCTGTGTTTCCTCCGATTTGCAGAATCTAGAGTATATACAGGGAAGGAATGTAGGGTGAACAGGGGTGTGCCGTGGGATGGTGTCCTTTCTGCCCTATGTGATAAAAGGTAGAGGGAAAGAAGGCAGAGTGAAAACATGCGATAAACCTGACATGGTATGTCCAATCTGGGGAATTATTTTTTGGGGGGTTTTTTAAGCAAGCCCATAGTAAGATTGGAAATTTTTAGGACAAGAAACAACCCCCTTGTGCAGAGCTGGAGAACCTACCAGGTGGACAGAATTACCTGCTGACCCTGCTAGCCAGAGACTCCATAAAATATGAAGGAGGCACTCATCATGAAGCACAGGGGACGTGCCTTGTCCTCTTGTGTCTAGCTTTTAGGAATAGGAAGTGTGTTGAGATTCTAATACCTGGAAGTGCTCAGGGTCTCTCCCTCCAGTGTCAACCTCTGGCCAGTGCATGTCTTAGAAAGGTAAAGGACCCTGGCCTCTTCCCTGGTCTGTCCAACATCCACTGTATCCCTTTTGAAGCTTTTGTTTCTTTTGGCCTTCCTGCCATATATCTGATGGGAATTTCACTAGGCTGTAGTTATTGAATCTGGAATGCTTTTTGTTTCAGGGCCAGTGATGTTTGAGGAAGCAGATGTGTATTTCCACAAAGAGCAGAGGACTCTGTAGGACTCTGGTCAGAAGACCTACTACCAGGACATCATGCAGGAGAATTACGAGACTGTGACCTTTCTGGGTAAGAAATCGTTTTCTTTTTTCCATTAGTTATTAGAAACTCTGGGTTATGCCCAATTTGACCTCTGCTCAGGTTGTTCCCAGTCACCTGCCTTTCAGAAGGAAAGGATCAGTCCTCCAGTTCATAAGAGATGCTTTAAACTCCACTCCCTATTCCATGGGTTAGGGCTGAGTTGCCTACCTTGTAGCCTGCAGGTCTCTTATGTCCCATGAGTGGTTAACATGTGGCCCATGGGCCCCAGCAGCCGCCTGTCCTACTGCTGTCTGGTGGGACAGGGACCAAGGCTCCCCACACTACCTGTGCTGTGCACACAGTGAGGGGCAGGAGAGGCCACATATTACCAGTGCAGTCTATATGGCACTGGCACTGCCCAGATGGTGGGAGGGATGCCTGGGGTGGGGCTGCCTCTGGCCACATCAAAACTGGACAGCCCTGGGTTAGGGAAATAAGGCACATATAGAGATGGGAGTGCATTCCTACGCCCCAACTTGCAAAGGCGGCAAATGTGTTGCATTTACCTCTCTAAGTTCTCAATTGCACATATAATCTCCATTCTCCTCCATTCCTGGGACCAGCTCCATCTGTGAGGAAGACTTCAGCCTGTGGAAGCTTAGAAATAGGCAGAAAATTAGCATGAGAGCTGTCTCCGTCAGCAAGCTCCCCAGAGTGCCCCCCTCACACCTGGCTTCTCTCTTTCTTTCTCAGCAGGTGATGGATTGGTATGTAAGAAAGAAGAGGAGGATCCACAACCTGAAGGCCCAAAGCAACTGGAACTAGAAAAGGTGTTGTTGGGAATATCCGAAAGGAACTTTTCCCCGAGCCGTGTACAGGGAACCCCCAGTGGAAATCAAAGTAGGCTAAAGAGGCAGGTGGCAAGCCACACAGGGAAGGAAGTGGGTGAATCTGTTGATTTGGGGAGAGGCTGTAATGACCTCAAAGAAACCAGAGCCAAGCAGAAAAGCCACACGGGAGAGAGAAAAAACACATGCGCTGAGTGTGGGCAGAGCTTCAGTCGGAACTCGTACCTTATCAGGCACAAGAGAACCCACACCGGGGAGAAACCCTACCAATGCCTTGAGTGCGGGAAAAGCTTCAATCTGAGCTCCAACCTCATGACACACCAGAGAACCCACACGGGAGAGAGGCCCTATAAATGCCTGGAGTGCGGAAAAAGCTTCATTCAGAGTTCAGATCTTATTTCACATCAGAGACTCCACACAGGGGAGAGACCCTATGAATGCCTGGAGTGTGGGAAGAGCTTCATTCAGAGTTCACACCTCCTCAGGCATCAGAAGCTCCATGTTGGGGACAGACCCTACAAATGCACTGACTGTGGGAAAAGGTTTTTTCAGCGGTCACATCTTATTAGACACCAGAGGCTCCATGTTGGGGAGAGGCCCCATAAATGTACCGACTGTGGGAAAAGCTTCATTCAGAACTCCCAGCTCCTGACCCATCAGAAAATCCACTTAGGGGAGAAACCCTATAAATGCCCTGACTGTGGGAAAACATTTAATAGGAGCTCACACCTTATCGTGCACCAGAGAACCCACACGGGAGAGAAACCCTATAAATGTCTGGACTGTGGGAAGAGGTTCAGTGTCAACTCCAACCTGATTACTCACCAGCGAACCCACACGGGGGAGAGACCTTATAAATGCCTCGACTGTGGGAAAAGCTTCAGTCGGAGTTCACATCTCATTAAGCACCAGAGGCTCCACACAGGAGACGAAACCTGAGTGCAGCAGAAGATTCAATTGGGGCTTATGTTGTGTAAGACATCAGCAAATCTGTGTAGGGGAGAGACCACTTCAGCATGGTAAACCCTTCTAGTGGAACTTATATATCTTGGACAGCAGAAGCTTTGTGCAGGAGAGAAATTCTGTCTGGACAACGAATGGCCATAGTTAGATTGTAAGCAGACGTCTCATTTCAGGCAGTCTGATTGCCAGGGGTTTAACCCTGATTTAAACACAAGTGATCTAAACACAAGTGGCACAGCCATTTACACACACCGCCCTTCCAGGCTGCACTGCTGCCCTTGTGACAGGCCGGTCCCTGGAATGGATGGCAGTTGGCTTGAATGACCCATGATCTAGATACAGACATACACCACACTGTCCCAGCAGATGTGTTGGCACCTTTTATCTTGCATCCTTAAAGCAGGATAATGGATGTGTATGTCTGTAGGATCCCAGGACAAAAGGCTTTCTCCTGTGAGAAATGTAACATCTGTTTGCACCCCTTGTTACCAGACTTAATATTGGTAGTAGCACTGAATTCATAGATGCTTGAACAAAAATAGTCCATTCTCTGAGCATTTATTGAGCACAGCAATTTGCAACTTCAAGCACATGGCAAAGACCAACAACAGAAACACTTCATCTAAGCTAAGACACAGCCAAATAAGATATAGTGACAACGCACAATTTAGTCTAATTTAAAATGCAACATAATAAGCCAAAAAGACAACAAAAAGCATTGCATAATCCAAAGGGCAGAGTGTCTCTTTGCAGTCAGGTATTCATAAGGTATTTCTGGGGATCTGCAGGTCTTCTTAGGTGGTGAGGATAGTCCCACAGGCCTCAGCTTGGCCTGGGTTTTCATAGGGATCTACATCTCCTTGCCTCCCTTCGGTCCCTTACATGACTCTCATGCATTCAGTGTCTCTGTCTCTTGCCTCTTAGGTATTCCAGTCTCTCATCCCTTACCACAGGGGTGGGGAACCTCCAGCTCCAGCCCACGGCATAATTTCAACCGGCCCATGAATTGGGGCAACCGCCCCGGGCCCCATATTTTGTGGGGCCCTGTGTAGCAGCCGCAGCGACTCTGTGCCACTGCCAGTTTCACATCTGGCTGCTTGCTATCACCCCCACCACTGCCACCACCAACGGCTTTGCATCCGACTGCTTGCCACCCCGCCGCCGGCACCACTTCTCTTTTCTTTGTTCAACCTATGTTTCCCCTGCTACATATCCCAGTGTATTCAGCAATCCCTGCTCAAGAGTCATTGATTTCAGTCCTTTATAATGTATAGTGTTGGCCATTCATGGCATCTGACAAAGTAGGCTATTGCCTATGAAAGCTTATGCCTCTCTGAATGAGTTACTGTCTAAGGTAACACCCTGTCCTGCCTCTTGCCTGACTTCAGATTAACATGGATAACTACCTCTCTACTAATGGATAGGGTTGTGATGATGGGAATTGAGATGAACCCTCCCAGTGAGATGAAGCTGAAGGTTCCAAATTAAAGTACCTCTCCATGACTGTTAATAAAACTTTGGTTTCTTTCTGCTTCAACAGCTATTGGCATCTCATGAACTCATAAAGATTCGCTCTAGAATGATTGCTGTTAACATCTATCTAGAGTATTGATATATAGAGAATATGGATTATGTAATGTGATACATATGAAAGGTTAATGTTTCCTTTAAGAGGGGAGATGTGGTGCTATGTAAGTGAAAGATCAGAATTTAGAGTCAGTCTCTTATAACGGATTGTGTTGTGATTGTGGGAATGGTGAAATGAACCCAGGGGAACAGAAAAGCTGAAGGTTCCAGTTTGAAGCTGTTCTCCATAACTGTTAATAAAAGATTTTGTCTATCTCATTCACCAGCTATTGTCGTCTCATGAACCCACAAGGATGGTTATAAATAGGCTTGATTGCCTTAAGAAAGGAGAGAGGTTTAATGTGCAAAATGTTATTTAATCAGTTTTTAGATGTAGTTATGAAGTTATACAAAGAGTTTCATACTCGGTTCTTACAAAACAATGGCATAGAACAGGCATGACCTAAACAGTTCTTGTTATAGCATTTTCTTTAAGAGAAAGTAGGAGGAAACTTAACTTTACATATTCCTGATTGCCCAGCATTTGAGCTTTGGGTATTTAGATGGCAGAAAGGACAAGCTGACAATTAGTCAGGGTTATCTGACAACAGAGCTTACTATCTACTACTGCCTGCTATCATCAGCCCCACTGTGAGAGTTCAGAAGCAGCACATCATCTCGTAAACAGTCCTACCCTATGAACATGCAGACTGTTCCCTAGAAGTAACCTGATTAGCAAGTCAACTTACCTGACCCTAACTTCACCCTCCAAAAAAGTACCAAAACACCAAAAGTATCAAAACAACTTTCCACCCTCCAGCGCACACACACACACACACACACACACACACAGGAAATAACTTGAATTTTATAAAAAATACAAAAATTATTTTCCAAAAATAATTAGGTATATCAAAGCATTTAGATTAATTATTGAATTACTGGACAATTGAAAAAAGGAAACAATTGCAGAAAGTACTTTTTTAAAGGCACTGAAATGGCTGCACTTTTAATGACTGCATACATTAAATGGATGAACTGTGCAAGGAATGACACTACAACTGATACTGGTATTTACCAAACCCTGATTTGAATGTCTCCTTTTCTCTTCCCTTTATCCACAAGTTTCCACCTATCAACCTCTGACCTCCCTGAAGGTAAGAGATCTTTTTCCTGCCTTCCAATCATGATCCTAAAGGACAAGTTTGATGGGGATGTCATGTATCAATGAGGCTTATTTCTGTTCCCAAATCACTTCATGCCACCAGACATTTCCTCTGGGCAGTAGCCATTGAGTACTTCACAGGGCAGTGGGCACTGCTAGGGACTTGCTGATCAGTGTCTCCTTGGCCATCAGTGCCACATTTGGCCATCTAGCGTCACTCTTCTGCCTGTGTTTGCATGTGTAGTCCCTAGTAATCACTTGACCCAGACTCCATGGACCCTGCCTGCAGCCCTGGGGCCCTTAGGTCTGGGTGCAGCAAAGCACACCCACCCCAGGCTTTACCCAAAAGGTGCAGGCTGGCTGAGTGCTCCTGAGTTAGAGGGGATGGTGACAGACAGGGTATACAGTCTTCAGGAAAGGAGTTTGGCTTCTTCATGATGACAGTTTGCTGCTCTCTATGGCCCAACACTCTGGAGACTCCCTGAGCCTCCAGGGTCATAAATAAAAGCATGACTGAGACTCTGGACTTATTCTCTCACATCTCTTAATGGTAGATTTGGAGCTGGGATCCCTCCCATACCCAGAGCCAAGGGTGGATTTTCTTCCCAGTGAATGAGGTTGGTGGGAAAGTGAAAACTGGGTCCCCAGTATCAGCATAAAAAAATGCTACCTGGCCTGCCTCATAATCCAGATAGATCTGGACCCTCCTAGGGACCTGGGTCAAGGGCAGGACACTGCGATGAGTGGTGAGACTCCGACACTGCCCCTTCCAGTGCTCTACAGTCCAGACCCCTGCTCCAACAGGCCACAACCTGAAGGTGCTGAAAACTCAGACAAGTGCTGTTCACATAGCACAAATATTTGCCATGTCCCAAATTACACAGCTAAAAAGCAGATACAGTTTCTCAAGTCTCTGGGACTTTACAGAAAGAAACAGCTTAAGGGTACGGACCATGAATTCTCAACCAGGATACTCTGGTGCTCTGGGGTTCCACACACTATTGGCACTATTAGTTGGGCAAACACGATTCATAAGATAAACCCAGAGAGTGTCCAGACAAGTGCAGACATTTGTTTCCCTAGGGACAAGCACCAGCAGCACACCTTGTGCTGATGCTACTTGTCCCCGGGGAATGCCAATGCCACGCGTGGGGTCTGGCGCACAGCAGGTTACCCAGGCAGGGTAGGGGAGGCTGAGGACAGCAACTGTGCTGGCCCCAGCAGGTTTATCTGGGGTACATCTGCAATGTAGCAGCATGGGGAAAACTTGCATGTGTGATGTGTGGCACTCACAGCTGGGTCTGCATTCATCTGGTTGCTGCCAGAGATTTCAAATCAAAATCACTCTGAACTGTTGTGAGCTTTCTGAGTTCTTTTCAACAGAAAAGTTGCTCCATTATTTTTCTGTAGTTAAAAAAATGAGTGAAAACTAAGACCTGGCATTTTCTGAGGGTGGCCTTGAGTCTAACAAGGTTGAGATCCGCTGTTATGGAAACACACACATTTTCAGCTGTTTCAAAAAGGAAATGTTTCAAAAGAGCAGTAGCTGTTACATTCTAATTCTTACATGTGGACAGAATAAGAACCCTACAAATGTAGCAGAATTGTTCCAACTTTAGGGTTGGATGAAACAGTGTTAAATTTGGAGCAGTTTTGCTACATTTGTATAATTCCTGGCTTGTCCACACACAAAACATACTAGGATCTTCCCTTTGAAATGTTCCCCATGTGAAAAGGCTCCAAATATATGCACAGCCATACCTTTACTCTCTGGTAGAAGGGACTCTGAAATGTTCCTCTCTGGTACCCACCTGCCCTCAAGGAGGTAGCTTCAGACCATGATGTCATAGGGGAGCCCCAGCAGATTATTAAGGAAGCTGTTCCTTTGTTCAGTGTGTAATCAATCTCTGTACATCCTTCTGCAGTGTCCCTGTACATCTTCAATCTTACTACATCCCACCTCCCTTTAGGCTGGGTGTTATTTCACTTGGAACATGTGTTCCGCAGCTTAACTCTGATATGGTTCTTATCAGATGGAAACATGGCCACCTGCTTTGTCCAGATCATCCTTTTCAGCACATGACACATCCATGATTCACTTGGCCAAATAAAAATGTGTATGTATTAACCCAAATTCATCCCCAGTACAGAGAAGATCATAATATAAAGAGATCTAATGGAAAGAATGATGCAAAATGGCAGGTATGTCTGTGGGTGGATGGTGTATCTGGTGGATGGAAAGATATGATGGCTGTACAGAAGATAGTGTTGACCTGACAGAGAGAGAAAGTGGATGTGGATGGGAAGAGGAAGAAAGGAACATGATCAGTGCTGTGGTAAGAGGAGATCCCTCACTCAGTGTAATGGAGCTAGGATTGCTCCTTTCAGAGGTCAGTGCCCTCTTGACCTTTTCTGAGACTGGAGCAATTGGGGAGATGATCATTAAATTAACTACTGGGCCATAGGAAAGAGATGCATCACTAGTCCCTCCAATGTCCACATAGAGACAGCAGTCCTAATAGGGTAAGAAAATAAGATCCTCCCTTTACACCTCTATTCTACTGGAAAGAAGAGACCAAGATTTCCTAAGTGAGCCAAGCTGATGCCAAATAGTAGAAGAAAGACAGCTCCTGGAGAGAGGTGGATGGAGAGACAAAAAGGTGAAATCATAGGGAGAGTGAGGATTGGGGTTAAATCAATGAGGCAGAAAAAGTGAGAGAAGAACAGCAAAACAAAGAAGAAGGCATTAGACTACTTGTGCCTTTATAGCAGAATTGGGAGCCACAGAGACAGAGAAAAGAACCTTGCACTGCTGGTTTATGGCTGGACCTCCTGGACCAAGGCCCATGGCTGGCTGCTGAGGAGTTACTCCACAAGCAAGTGAAGGATGTTTTTCAATGACTCACCTCCTGCTTTAACTGCAGCCAACACAGTGAAACAGAACTAATCACCTATTCAGCTCCTTCCCTTCCACACTAAACTACTCCTCTTTTACATACCCTGTGCTCACAGCCTGTTACTTCCTCTCTCAAGGCGTCAGTGTACTGTATGTGTTATGCCCTAATAAATACACTTATTTTTCTCTATTTCTTAATCCTGGCATTTCCTTGGTCCCATGGAATCTTGGAATTAGATACAAAATTGTGTTTGCTCCTCTTCTACAGGCCTCAGGCCCTCTGCCAGGGAGTGAGACGTGAACCACAGGCAGGTACACACATAAGCAACAGCAGCAGGGGGTGATCAGTGGACTGAAACACAGCAAGTCTTGGGTCTATATAGGCAGTGGAAACTGCTCCCACAAAACTCTGTAGGGGACAGAGCACGTACAGGGAGAAGAGAGAGGGGATGCATATGTAATAATATCTTGCACACTGTGGTCTAGTGGGATTTGAACACAAAACCTGACTGCCCAATAAATGCAGAAGATTGGAGAGGTCTGCCCCATGCTGTCAAGCCCAGACCCATGCATCTCCATGAACAATATTTTAACACGAGAGATGGGATTTGTGCTGATAAAATATTAATATTAATTACCTTTTTCTATAGTGACTGCCAAACTTCTCCACCCTGAAATTAGCAATACGACAGAGAGAAATATATTCTCTAAATAGATTAAATTTTTCATACAGCAATATACTGGGAAAAGATGAGAGTATAAAAATCACTTACAAGTTTATCAGAAAGATTCTGTTTTTTACAGATTATGTTAGTATTTCTCTCTCAGTGACTATACAATAAATAGCCATATTTCTCCTATAAAAATGCCCACTGCAGGCTCTGGATTATTATTACGCTACTATAGTCACAATTTCTTAGCTGACACATTGAAGCTATGTTACTAAAATGAACAGTCAAACAAAAAGATATTTAAATCCTTCTCTTGTTCACATTCAGGTCTAAAGTGATAAATGAACCAGCTAATCCATGGATATGGAGGCCCATCAGTTATGTATTTTTATGAAATTGAGAGATTTATTTTTCAGCGCTTTCCCTTCAGCTCTGCTTCTAAAATGTTTTAAAATTCTGAAGTTTTTATAAGCAGCTCACTTGTAAGGGTCGAAGGAGCTGTATTTCAGGGAATGCGTGATTAAATTACACCAAGCTTCCACAATTATCTCTACCATATCCCCTATTTAGGTATTTCATTTTTATGATTTCCCTGTATTTGGCAGTTCTAAGTTGCTAAACCTCAAAGTCAGCAATTTAGAACATTTTGAACACAGATCCCAAATTTGCTCCACAAACTCTGTGGCTCTGCTCTGGCATATTGATTGCCAAAACATCCAAGAATCACAAATAAGAATGCAGGGGAATTTCAGATTTCTTTTACATACTGCATCCTAAAAGAAGAAAGCCTGCACAAAGTATTCAGAAGAAGCCTTTGTGTGGACCTGTGCACAGAGCACATGGCAAGTAGGAACACACACAACAGAGACCTTAGAAACCAGTTGGAGGAAGGCCTTACTGGAGTTCTCAGTAAATGAACAAAGCATAGATGCTATGGCTACAGATAGCTGTACCCTCAGCCATGCCTGTTTTTACCGAAATCAGAGACAAACGTTTCACTGAATTCAGCGAATCAGAGGTGATTTTTAAAATATACAAGTAGAGGGGAAAACAAGTTATTGAATCATTTCGTATTTTGATCAC